TCCTCCTCCCCCGTCATCTGTTCCTGTGTGCTCTGGTCAGATATATCCTTCTCCCGAAGCTGCAGATTCAGTGCCATCGTTTGAGATACACTAGAAGAAACAAATTTATAGACACTCATGTGTATAAGAAAGAGCTTTTGAATAATGAGAAAACATCCCAACGCAGTCCAGATCAAGTCCATAAATCCGACATTAGCTCATATGTCCGATACCAATCTATAAAGTCCTCTTCAGATTTAGGAAGCACAAGCAATGACGCAGAATGCAGGGAGATCACAGGCCAATAGGTGGGAAGTCTTGTGGATCCAGTGGCATTATAAGCCACTCAGCCCTGTCAGGGGTCTCCATGTGGCTCCTCCAGCTCAGGGCGTTAGCCTAGTTAGTTCCGTATGTCTTGTCAGCTGCAATGTCTCCCAGGGAGTGAGCAGAGAGAGAGAGTATCTTCCTGATCCAAGGAGGAATATAGGAGTTCCCTGAATACTTGGGAGAAGACCACGCCCACACAGAGGCCTCATTGGCTATGATCAGACTGACAGACCAGGCTCCACCCCCTCATTCTTAATCCTTTCAAATTTACAACTGGTTATATAACTATCACAGTGATCTAAAACCAACCCCCAAAACGAAACCCACTGCTATAAAATCTCTACTGAACCCACAGTGACCCTCTAGTTTCTGAAACTGTAATTCTTTATGGGGACAGCCTCATCGTTTCAACTGCCAACCTCTAGCGCCACCAGGGCTCCTTAGATATGTGATCTAGGACAAGTTAATTGACCTCTCTGTGCTTCAACTCCCTTATCTGTGAAATGAGGTTCATACTAGGATATTATATTCTGTTAATAAAATGTTAAAGCCTGCCTCATAGGATGCTTGTGAGGATTGAATGTACTGAGTATTGAATGTCTTCAAATTGGACTAAGTCATTAAATTATATTTAGAATTGTTTTAGATTCTGTTAGAATATTCCATTGTACCTCATTGCTCCTGCTCTCAACTTAGGGTAGCAACAATTTTACTAATTTATTTTTCATTAACCCTTTAGCATTATAAAAATACCTGGCATTGTAGAAATTGAGGAAACATAAATGTCCATCAGCCATAGAGCACTGTTGCTAAGACTGTTGTGCATGTCTCTTTGGGATGTTTTTAATCTATACATAAAATGGCATCGTGTACATTCTCTTTGGAACTTTTTTTGTAGTTAATGGCCTCTGCTGTTTCCATTAAAAGTGATATAAACATATTTTTTTTACAGTACTGTCACTACGTTGCTGGCCTGGTGGGAATTGGCATTTCCCAGCTGTTGTCAGCTTCAGAGTTAGAAGACCCCATAGTTGGTAAAGATACAAAACTTGCCAACTCTATGGGGCTGTTTCTGCAGAAAACAAACATCATTCGTGATTTTCTGGAAGACCTGCAAGAAGGAAGACAATTTTGGCCTCAAGAGGTAACAATTTAGGGACACTTTTAAAAAATCATTTTATTGGGAGCTCTCACATGTTCAGTCACATCAAGCAGTATTGTACAATTGCTACACAATCAGTTTCAAATCATTTTCTTTTTTCTTGAACTCCTTGATATTAGCTCTCCTTTGACCTCTCCCTGCCCTACCATACCCCCTAGGAACCTTTGTTTTTTTCTTCTATAATAGTTTTTGTGTGTGTGTGCGCCATGTTGTACACAAGCCAATATATCTATTCACATACAATTCTGTTATTCAGTCCCATCATCAATGCTGTAATCTCACCCCCACCCCAACCCCTTTCCTGGACCCTCAGGGAAACATTACTTCTGTTACTGTTTCTGAAGAGTTTGACTTTAATGCACTGAACAATCTTAAATATGCAAGTGAACATATGCAAATCCAACATACTTAATGAGGTAAAACTAATAAAAAACATAATAGTAAGGGGAGGAAGTTTTAGAACTAAAGATGGTTATGTGGTTTATCAGTGCCATTACTGCACCCTAGATTGATCATCCTTTCCGTGTGGACCTTTTGAGAGGGACTGTCCAGTTATCTTAGAGGTGGGTTTTGGGTCTCCACTATATTATGCCCCTTCACATTGATTTGGTTGCTTGGGTCTGAACTTCTGATTCCTCTTCCTATTGATACCTCATGATCTTACAGATTGGTGTGCTTTGTCCCTGTGGGCTTTGTGGCTTCCCTGCTAGATCGCCTCTTGTTTAACTACAAGTCTATAAGACCCCAGATGCTATATCTTTTAATAACTGGCCACGTTCAGCTTTCTTCACCCATTTTGTCTTTAGTGATCATGTCAGGAATGTGAGTGTCATACAGTGCAACAGTATTAGAAGAAATGATTCTTATACTGAGATAAAATTTAAGTAGAGGCCCAAAGTTTAGGTACTTTGAAAATAAATCAGTAAACTTTTTTTTTATTTGGACACTTTGAAAATAAATCAGTAAACCTTTTTTGGCTGGTAATAGAAACATAAGCCTAACTATCTTAAGGCAACAAAAAGTAGATAAAATAGGTTATAATTTAGTTTGCTTCTTTTCTTGATCAGGTCTTCTCCAAGTGGTGGGTATAGTAACCTATGTTGTACAGTATTCTAGCGTAATGAAAGTGTCTTCAAGAAGCTCTAATTGATAGGGCTTGCTTCATATTGGCCCATTTGCACACTGTTTGCTTAAGTCAGGGCATTGAGTATTCTGATTGGCCAGACCCAAATTATGTATGCTTAGAACATATATAACTGGATCCCCTCCATGAAAGCAGTGTTTCTATGGCAAGCACAGGAAAGGGATGCTTAGCTAGATGGAAGCTACCGATAATGTCTATTGTAAGGGACAGCAGTTAAACCTTTGATTTAATGTAAAATTGGACAGGGAAAGAAAGAACTCTGACATTAAAGATTATTTTTGTGAGGTTATTTTAGCATTTACCTTTAATATTTATTTTCCCCATTAAATGGTTTCTTAAGATCAAGTGCGAAAAAATACTTGAATTCTATATTACTGATAACTGGTTAACATTCTTAATATTAACTTGCTGCCATCAAGTCGATTGTAATTCATTGTGAACATTTAGGATAGGGTAGAACTGCCCCTGTGGGTTTCCCAAACTAACACTTTACAGGAGGAGAAAGCCTCGTCTTTCTTCTGCAGAGCATCTGCTGGCTTCAAGCTGCTGAACTTATGCTTAGCAGCCCAACACATAACCACTATGCCACCAGGTCTCCTCCAATAATATTAAAAAGAGCTTCAAAAGTTGGGAAGAAAAAGACTAATTGCTCAATAGAAAAATGCAAAGAGATAAGAAAGTGAGTTCACAGAAAGAGATCCAAATAATCCCTAAATACCTGAAAAGGTGTTCAACCTAATAAGATGCTTACTCCTAATAAGAAAAAAAAATCATATTAAAACTACCATGAGCAGGTCTACTGCCTCATAAGATTGCTGTGGCGTTGCCCATTTATGCAATAGAATATATACCAAGTCAACAATTTTTATGTGGTATTTTCTTACCAAATATTATTCATTGTGTGGCTATACCATCATCAATTGTTGAACATTTAGATGGTTTCTACGTTTTACCATTATAAGTAATTTTGCCATTGAGATTCATGTTTGTTTTTGTTTAGACATGAGTTTTATGGAATAAAATTAAAATTGCTTGTTCACATGGTAACCATGCAAAAGTGGCTACACCATTTTACATTCTCACTAGCAGTGTATGAGAATTCCACCTCTATTGTTAATTTCTTTTGACTATAGCCATCCTACTGTGTGTGATATAGGAGTCCTGGTGGCATGGTGGGTTAGGCACCAGCTGCTCCTTGGGAGAAAGAGAATACTGTATGCTTCCATAAAGTTGTAGAGTCTTTGAAACCCTAAGGAGCGCCATAGGATCTGTAGGTGTAGAAATCGACTTGATGTGTTTGCGTGTTTCTTAGTGGACAGTGATACCCAGTAGTATATTGTGCTTTTGATTTGCATTTCCCTGATGGCTGGTGATGTGTGCATCATATTTTCCTGTGTTTACTGATCATTCATACATCGCTTTTGGGGAAATGTCTTTTCAGATCTTTTACCCATATTGCAATTTGGTTATATGTCTTTCTGTTGTGGAGAATTCTTTATATATTCTAGCTTCAAGCCCCTTATCAAATAAACAATGTGCAAATATTTTCTTCCATTCCTTGGTTAGCTTAACCTTTTCTTGAGGTGCCTTTGAAGCACACACACAAAAGTAATTCTAGTTAGTCTAATTTATATGTTGCTTGTACTTTTGGTGCCATATATAAAAGTTCTTTGCCATATCATAAAGCTTTGAATACTTAAGCCTATATTTTCTTCCAGTAGTTTTATAGTGCCTTATGTCTGACGGGATCCCTGGTGGTGTAGTAGGGTTTATGTTGTGTTGGGCTTGGTTTGGCAGTTCAAAGCCATTAGCAGCTCCATGGGGAGAAAGACTGTTTTTTCTACTTCCATAAACAGTCTCGTAAACCCCACAGGAGGTCGCTATGAGTCAGCCCTGACTTATTGGCATCCAGTTTTTTTTTTTTAATGTCTATAATCTGTTTTTAGTCAACTTTGGGTGTATTCTGTGAGGTAGGGGTCCAACTTTTTTTGGCTTCCCCCTGTAGACATCTATTTGTTCCCATATATGGAACTGTCTTGGTACCTTTGTTGTTTAAAAACTCCATTCCTCTCAATTTGAAATTCTGATAGACTCCAGACTTTCAAGAGCCTTGAAAGTTTGATGAAACCCTGAAACTATTTTAAACCTTAAACATCCCCCAAAGTCTTAAGACCAAATAGTGGTTTAGCTTAACTAGTAAAAAAGTCTGATTTTAGGAATTAACTATATGGGATCACGTTGACAATCCAAACCAAATCAAACTCACTGTCATCAAACTGATGCCAACTCAGTGGCCCTATGGATGAAGTGGAACCGTGCCTGTGGATATCTGAAATTTTACTCTCTATGGGAGTAGTCAGCCTCATCTCTCTCCGAGTGGCTTCTGGGTTTGAACCAGTATACTCCCAGGGCTCCTAAAATTGACACTAGCAACTTGGAAGATCAGGCAGGAACCTTAGTGAGTAGTCAATTTATGTTACTAGGGGAGGGAAAACTTAGAAAAGGAGTGTATGAATAGTTGCAGACTCAGGGAACAAAATCCATGTCACTACATGGTACATGCAAAAACTATTGAGTTGCTATATCAGTTTTGCTGTGTGCTCTCAACAAAATGAAATATTAAAAAGAAGAAATGGGTCAACAAACAGACTTTAAACTATTTATAGGCTTTTCTTTGGCTTTGGTTTTTGTTGTTGCTTTGTTTTCTTTTGTTGTTTTGCTTTGTCTTATTTTTGTGCTTATTATTGCCTCTGCATGGCAGAGGGGGAGGAGGGAAGGAAGTGGATGTTAACAAACCCAGGGTCAAGGGAACAAGTAATCTAAAATTGATAGTGAGGGAGGCATAGGATGCCTGGTTGGGCTTGATCAAGGGCAGTATAACTGACAGGAATTACTGAAACCCAAATGAAGGCTGAACATGATAGTGGGTCAAGAGGAAAGTAAAATGAAATAGAGGAAAGAACTAGGAGGCAAAGGGCATTTATAGAGGTCTCAAAAAGGGGAAGGTGGGGGGAGAAAGGGGGAACTGATCACAATGATCTACCTATAACCCCCTCCCAGGGGGATGGGCAACAGAAAAATGGGTGAAGGGACATATCGGTCAGTGTAAGACATGAAAAAATAATAATAATTTATAAATGATCAAAGGTTCATGAGGGAGGATGGGGGAAAATGAGCTGATACCAAAGGCTCAAGTAGAAAACAAATGTTTTGAAAATGATAATGGCAACAAATGTACAAATGTGCTTGATAAAATGAATGGATGTATGGATTGTAATAAGAGTTGTATGAGCCCTTAATAAATGATTTTTAAAAATATATAAATACAGGCATATACATATGTAAATATATATATATATATAATGATAGGGAAATAGATCTATGTACATATATTTATAGGTTTAGTATTAAAGTAGCAGACAGACATTGGGTCTCTGCTCAAGTATTCCCTCAATGTAAGAACACTTTGTTCTAATAATCTGGCATTCCATGATGCTCCCCTTTCTGACACAATTGCTGAACACAAAATTGGGTGCATAAGCAAATGTGGTGTGGAAAGCTGATGGTGCCCGGCTATCAAAAGATAGAGCATCTTGGGGTCTTAAAGGCTTGAAGATAAACAAGTGACCATCTAACTGAGAAGCAACAAAGCCCACATGGAAGAATCACACCAGCTTATGTGATCATGAGGTATTGATAGGATCAGGTATCAGGCATCAAAGACCCAGAACAAAAATCATATCATTGTGAATGAGGGGGAGTGCGGAGTTGAGACCCAAAACCTATTTGTAGACAATTGGACATCCCCTTACAGAAGGGTCACAAGGAAAGAGAAGAGCCAGTCAGGGTGCAGTATAGCACTGTTGAAACATACAACTTTCCTCTAGTTCTTTAATGTTTTCTCCCCCCACTATCATGACCCCAATTCTGCCTTACAAATCCAGCTAGACCAGAGCTTATACACAGGTACAGATAAAAGCTGGAAACACAGGGAATCAGGACAGATAAACCCCTCAAGACCAATATTAAGAGTAGCGATACCAGGAGGATAAGGGGTGGTGGTGGGAAAACAGGGCCTATCACAATGATCTACATATAATCCCCCTCCAGGGGAATGGACAACAGAAAAGTGGGTGAAGGGAGATATCAGTTGGTGTAAGACATGACAAAATAACGATTTATAAGCTGTCGGGTTCGGGAGGGAGGGTAGCGGGGAGAGGGAAAAAATGAGCTGATACCAAGGGCTCAGGTAGAAAACAAATGTTTTGAAAATGATGGCAACAAATGTTCAAATGTGCTTGACACATGGATGTATGTATGGATTGTGATAAGAGTTGTACGAGCCCCCATTAAAATGATTAAAATTAAAAATGTTAAACAACAACAACAAAAAGAAAAAACGGTTCTTCTGTTGTGTTTGTCATACTGTGAGGGCTTAATAATCATAGGTATCTGTAAGAAAGAGTCTTCCTCTGAGGAATTTTAATGAAGTATTTATAGGTAAAATAATATGACATTCAGATGAGAGTATAGTTGGAACAAGATTGAGCATATGTCAGTAATTATTGAAGCTGGGTCATGGGTATATGTGGTTCATAACCGCTTTCTCCTGAACAATCCAGTACCACCAAGATGAGTGGATTTAGGTGCAAATGAAGAATGAATCACGCATTTAAGTCTTCATGCCATCTAATTTTTTTAAGCCTACTCTTTGGTTTTGAAGAGTTGTGGAAAGTTACAGTGTGCATTATTTTTTAGGAAACTTAAGAATTAACCTAAGAATAAATGTAAGGTATTCGTTTGCTCTGAGAACACCCCAAATAATTTTTTATCAAGGTACTTTGTTGGAGTCAAGGGTGCTATTTTGCTTTTACGTTACAAAAATCTGGGAGGTAATGATCATATCGTAGCTCATTTCCCCCAGATAGACTTTCCAGCATTTCTCCCTTCCCCACAATTGGGAGTGTCATGTTAATCATTTATTATTGAGTGTCCTAGCCATCTTAGGAACATTTAATGGTTAGCCTGTGGTGGTGTATCTGATTTTTTGTGGATCTGGTCATATCAGTGTAGACATACGTAATGCCTCTTGAGGCCTCTTCAGTCTAAAATCCTCAAGCTGTCTTTTAGTACCAGGGAACTTCAAAACATTTGTGTAAAATTCTATTCTTTTTAATTCAATTTTTTTTACAAACCTGTTGAAGCCCTCGTGCATGTTGCCCTTGTTTCTCAGAGGGGCACGTTTGCCCACACCAAAAGTTCCGATTAACCGTTGCGTCCAGTTTAAAATGAACTCTACCTTAGTGAAGGGTGGCAGGAGCTTAGGAAGCTTAATTGCTTATTCACAAAAACTGGGTAGTACTGTTCATATATGTTTTGCTTTGTTCTCTCGTTGGCCTGTTCTTAATTCTGTTTATCTGCTTAGGTTTGTAGCAGGTATGTTAAGAAGATGAGTGATTTCACTAAACCAGAGAACTTTGACTTGGCTGTCCAGTGCCTGAATGAACTTATAACCAATGCGTTACATCACTTGCCAGATGTCATCACCTACCTTTCAAGACTTAGAAACCAAAGCATCTTTAACTTCTGTGCCATCCCACAGGTATGAAATGGGAACTATTCTTTGTTATTCTGCTTAGCTGAGTTCAGGATTATTCCTTAAAAAGATGGCTCTCGATTCATTTCTTTGGCTGAGAGGCAGGTGGGTGTTTCACAGCACTTCCCTGCCTCTCAGCCACTACCCAGAGAGAGCTTCGTTTTCCAGGCCCTTCTGGATTTACTTTTTTCCCTTCTGGATATCATAAACTACTTAGATCCCTTTTCTCACAAATCACAGACGTCAGTCTTGCATTACACGGAGCACTGTGTAAAACTTAGGTATTACCATTCAGAAGTCTTTATTACGCATCTAATTGTACTTTTTTAAAACTTGGGGTTTGCTGATTCTGATTCACAGCAACCCTATAGGGCAAAGTAGAACTGCCTCCAAGAATTTCCACCGCTATATAATTTGTTTTTGTAAAACAGTTTTATTAATACTTCATCCACATGTCATACAACTAAATAATCATATCAAGAAGAATTGTACAATTACCACATTCAATTCTAGAATATTTTCATCCTTGTATTCTTTGTTAGTCATGTGACTTTTTTATACTTGTGGCAAAAATACACAGCAAAACATTCACTAATTCCACAACTTCTACATGTATAATTAGAATTCAGTGCCACTGATTATACTCCTCGTGTTGTACAACCATTATTGATAACTTTTTCCAAATTACTTTACCACCATTAACATAAACTCAATGCTCCGAACTTGCTCCTTCACTCATAGTATCTTTGGTCAATTCTGGTTTCTTTTTTTAAGTAGTTTTCTTCATAGAGCAGAGTATCCAAGTTAATATAATTTTACAGAAGCAGACTGCCAGTTTCCTCCCACGGAGCAGCTGGCGGGTGGTAACCACCAAGAACACGTTCCTATCGATGTAGCCCTTCAATCAAGAATGAAGTCCTAGGATTTCCAATTGATTTGGAAATTGTACTTGATCTTATTCTAATAACAAACCTTGAATGGTGATTACAACTAAAATCTGTATGTCTGCCTATTGTTTCCTTTTGTCATAGAAATAACTTACCTTTGCATATCGGAATGCTTTCTTTTCTAATTATTTTTACCCAGGTCTTTTTATTAAATATATGATGATGATGTTCATTGTAGGACAAATAGAAAAACAAAATCCAAAAGTTCTTTCCAAATGTTGCTGGTAAAAGCTTTTCTTTCAACTCTGACAGCTCATTGTTCTAATATGGAAAACGTTGGATTTGCCTGTTTGGTTTTTTTCATATAAAATAGAACAGTTGTGACTGTAACGTGCAGGCTGAAAAGATGACTTGGTTAGTTTGTCATTGAGAAAGGGAGAAGTAGGGAAGCTGAAGGTCTTGGCATCCTTCTTTCTTCCTGGCTATTATCCCCTCCTATCCCCCCACCCCCACCCCAGCTTTCTTGTGTCTTAGCTCTTCACCAGTTTCTCAGGATTGTGTTCCATTTCATATGATTGCTTACAGCTCAGTTTCTTAGTTTTCATGGAATGAAATTAATTAGTCTTTTCCCCCCTCATTTATAGGTCATGGGCATTGCTACTTTGGCTGCTTGTTATAATAATAAGCAGGTATTCAAAGGGGTCGTGAAGATTCGCAAAGGGCAAGCAGTAGCACTAATGATGGATGCCACTAATATATCAGCTGTCAAAGCTATGATATACCAGTACATAGAGGAGGTGAGTTTTTCTACTAGCTGGATGATTTGTAGCTCTTTTGTCGTTACTGTTGTTGTTGTTAGTTGATATTTTCTTTTCTTTTCATAGTTTTATTAAGGGCTCATACAACTCTTATCACAATCCATACAGACATCAATTGTGTAAAGCACATTTGTACATTCATTACCCTCATCATTCTCAAAACATTTGCTCTCCACT